AGGTTTTTAATAACCTGTCTCATTGTCTTCACTCTTGTTGCTGCTTCAAAACATTTTCCTTTATTTGAAGCTTTTTGCCTCTTTGTCTCTTTTGTACTTTGTTCCTTCCTGCATATTTTTTTACCTCCAGGTTAAAACATGGGCTTCCAGAATACATTTTACCCCAAATGTATGTATCATTACAATTTCTAGGACTATTCATGCTTTAAAAATTATTTGGTTCTCACATGCATGTCTTTACTACCCATTCAAGCAGACCAACTTTCTTCAGGGGTCTCCAGAAACCAGATAACAAGTGGCAGGAGAAATGCAGCTTTCTTAAGAGTAGTTTCCTTGGATCTATTTTTGTTCTGTATTCATTCTTCCCTTTAAGAAAAAGTGATGAAGAAGGCAGTTGGCTGCCAGGTTTAGAGGGCCCTAAAGGAAGCAGTTTTTTTTTTTCCAGGCTCACATGGAACGGAAAAGCAAGGCACAACTTTAATAAGTAGTAGCTAAATCAGGGATGTCTGCAAGGAGAGAGTAAAAAAGTCAAGATGTTGCCACAACCATGTGATCAAAGCCCTGCCCCTCTCTATGTGTATCATGACAGAGCTTGTATTGCATCTTGACTATTTTTATTTACCTGAGATAGTTGTCTTGCTTGGAAAAGGTACAAAGTATTTTTGAATCATTTTCAAAATGTGTAGTCCCAATAAGTTGGTTATCCTTACATTCCTGACTTCTATGACCAGCTTATAAACATATACATACTTAAATAAGGCCTCTAGAGGTAGCTTTGAAACATTAAGTAAGCATTTCATTCTAATGCAAGCAGAACAGAGACAGCTGCTAACAGTCTGATAGTTTGGCCCTTTTATTATCTCAGCTATGTAACTGACTTTCTTAGCACCCATCACCAATCCCAAGGAAGGAAAAAGATTATGAGTAATAAAATAAGTATAAAAACTCAACACACTTCAAGTTTTTATGTATTAAATTTTTTTCACCCCAAATCATATCAGTTTAATTGTCACATCAGTCTCACGTTAAAAAAACCACAACCTTTGAGTGGTCCTTGGTGCTTTCTGAGCTTGGAAAAAAAAATTATTTCTCTCTTCAATTTCCTCTTAAGCAACGGGTAAACAAAAACATATGGAAGCTAAGAGAGAATGAGTTCAGTGACCTGCATCCTGGAAAAGAGACAAGACTGGAAAAGTTTAAAAAAAAAAGTCTGAAATCCAAACATTGTTTAGCACATCTCCTCTCCCTTTGCATAACTACTGGAGAAGAATTAAGATTACTTTATGAAATAGTTTGTGCATGAGGAAAATGACTCTAAGCATAGAAAAATTGTGTTTAGAACAGCAGTGGTGTATTGCTTTGCGACAATTTTCACAACCTTGTTAATTTTTTAATCATATTTCTCAGTCCCACAATAAGAAGTTTGTTAGCTTGTTCAAAAGCAGCATCAAGAGGCATTCTCCTTCCATTCATGATTCTTTGGATGCAAGTTTAGGAGTTTGGCTGATCTGGCCAAACTGGGAGAGAAGGGGTAATCTGTTTTAATTCTATTATTTGTATTGATTGTTCTGAGGCCATCTAGGATCACAGTCATGTAAGAATTACATAAATGAATAAATAATACTGCTGACATTTTAAAGTGATTAAGAATATCATTTTTCTACTGTATGACAGTATTATTTCATTGGGAATAATTATAATTTATAAAATATGTGAACATTATTTCTCTGTGGTGTAATCTAGCTCTCTAAATAATAGAGGAAAACAAGGATTTCTAGGATTGCTTATTCTTACAGATATCTGTGGCACTTTACACACTGTTCCAATCAACATCTCAGGGTCATTTCAATAAATTTACCTACATCTGGGCAAATATGGTGAGAGAGAACTTAAAAACTCAGTCTCAAATGTATTCCTGTCCATATGTGTGAAGACATTTACAATTTCTACATTTCTGCCTGAATTCTAGTAAGGTAGCCTTTTGTCTATAGAATTCTTGCCAAAATAAGTTGCTTAGCATTTACAGTAGCATATAATTATTGACTGTTTTCTGCAATTCCCATTTCCTTTCAGAGTTTAGTGAGGACATGTTGGAAAATGTGTAATGCTTCTAGCATGGCCAAGAAATTCCTAAGAGACAATGACTGTCCTTTAATTATTGTGAGAAAGTTTTTCTCTAGATTATTGTCTCAGATGTCAAGGCTTTTTAAAAATAAATAAATAAAAGGTTAAATTAAATAAACTATCCTGAGAAACTTTGAAACATTGCTTCAAAGGAAATAAGCCTATAGTCCAATAACAAACTCTTTCCCTAAGAGTAGTACTGTTTTGGCTACATCTCTTTACGTAGCCAAAACTGTACCACTAATTCAGAGGAAGAGAGAGAATTAATTAATTACATATACGGAATTCAACTTTTATAGAAAAGAATCAATCCTAAAAATTTCAGAAAAAAATATTCTGGGAAAAAGAACTGAGAAATCAAACAATTAATGCCAAGTAGTAGTCATGGAATCTCCATAAACCACACTTCCGAGATTTTGAGGTGCAAATGCTGAACTGGAATATTCTGAAAAAGGGTGGAGGCTGATTGCACATGACTATTCAAAGTTGCAATAACTTGTGCACGTCATATAATACATATAATGCCAACAGCAGCACAATGGTTATTCAACACATTGACCCAAAAAGCTTTGCTTTCCTATCCAGATTTGGGGTTTATTGTGCCACATAAGCCTGCAGTCTGCATTATTGGTTTGTACAACCCAATTTAAGCTTTATTACACATTCGTTTCATTAATCCACTAGCAGCTGCTCTGGATTTGGATTATCAATAAGACCACTATGTTAGCTAAGGAACAGCACGTGATCAAGGGCTATTTGTTAACTACATTATGTGAACAACCTATGTAAATGCTTGTAATGCTGTGAGTAAAATGTTCTATAGTTGCTTTTAGAATGTCCATACTATCAAGAAAAGTTTCAGGTATTAGTTTACTATGAATCCCATTGTGTTGTCAGTTTTCTATTTCTCTGCTCTCTAAGGTCCTGTATCACATATAACTGCATTTGTCTATGGAGAGTCTCAGTCATCCAGGTCATGGTTGTTCCAAAGGTGCTTTTTTGGTTTTTCTTTGAAGATGTTTCACTTCTCATCCAAGAAGCTACTTCATCTCTGGAAAGCTGAAGAAGCTCCTTGGATGAGAAGTGAAACATTTTCAAAGAAAAACCAGAAAGTCGTTGCCTCTTGAAAAAAGCACCTTTGGGTATAACTGCATTTCTCTTTTTTCTGCTCCTTCTCCAGTTGGGGGGACTCAGTGGTCCTTTGCATGTGGAAATCTTTATATTATTATTCCTATCTATTATCTGTTGCAGTATGGAAAAGATGAGCTCAGAATCTAGGAATGAAACAATGTAGAAATTAAGATACCTAATCATTTTGTCAAGACAGCTTACTCTGTTGGAGTAATATTCTATCTATTATAGTTTGGGTAAAAAATATAGGGTAGAGATTTTTAATTGAATCATCTGAAGAATCAAGAACTGAATCTGGAAACTTCTATTTCTGGATGCTTTACCATGACTGATCCACCACTAGGAATTATATAAGGCTGCAAGTTCAGACAGAAGTTCCTGAGAATCATGAAATGTTGGCGAAGTATTGGGAGATAGAGGCAGAGTTGCCATTCTACTTACCCTATATGTCCTAGTTTAGTGTAATGGAGAATGTTCATCCTACTACAGGGGTGTCACTGATAGTCCTCAGCAGTCTCCACATGAGAGACTCTGAAAGATGACAGGTTTGTTGTCACAATAGAAGCCCATTCCTTTTGTACATGTAGTGACACTGCACCTCTCACGTTGCAGATTTTGAGGCCATCTGGTGGATGCTCAAGGGTTCAACTGCTAGTCAGTTGGGTTTTTTATATGGAAAGGTGAGAGGAGTAGATATCATGTCCTTCACTTCAGATATCAAAATACTTTAAAATCAATTTCAACATTTCTAAATATCACTACTCTACAATACCAAACACATAAACAAACAAACAAACTCAATAGTAGTAAGTATGAGAGGGATCTTGGAGTCCTAGTGGACAACCATTTAGATGTGAGCCAGCAGTGTGCAGCAGCTGCCAAAAAAGCCAATACAGTTCTGGGCTGCATAAACAGAGGAATAGAATCAAGATCACGGGAAGTGTTAATGCCACTTTATAATGCCTTGGTAAGGCCATACTTGGAATATTGCATTCAGTTTTGGTCGCCACAATGTAAAAAAGATGTTGAGACTCTAGAAAGAGTGCAGAGAAGAGCAACAAAGATGATTAGGGGACTGGAGGCTAAAACATATGAAGAACGGTTGCAGGAACTGGGTATGTCTAGTTTGATGAAGAGAAGGACTAGGGGAGACATTAGAGCAGTGTTCCAATATCTCAGGGGTTGCCACAAAGAAGAAGGAGTCAAACTATTCTTCAAAGCACCTGAGGGTAGAACAAGTGGTTGGACTAGAAGACCTCCAAGGTCCCTTCCAACTCTGTTATTCTATTCTATTCTATTCTATTCTAAACAAACAAACAAACAAACAAACAAACAAACAAACGTGTAAATCTTTCTTAACTGTGTCCTCAAATGTTTTTGACTGTTTGATATATCAGTAATGTGAATAGTCTTTCACTAATAACTTTCAGAGTGCTATTAAAATTCAGAATAGTTCATATATTTGGCAATACATATTTTATGTCAAAATGTTGCCTTAAAATATAGTTTAAGAAATTTTTATCCATATTTAGGTATCTTGTCTGGGTAGCTTTAGGGTACCTAGTCATTTAACAATCAGATTCAAGATAGAATACAAAAGCGTAATCTTTACAAAATCTGTATTACCATTTTTGTAACTGCTTACTCATAAATATTTTAAATACAAGTAAATTAGAAAAGGATACCAAAGGCAATGTAATATTTATAATGAAATTGAAATGAAACTGCAAATACAAAAATTGTATTCAGAATAAATTTGTATGATTCTTTTAATGAAAATTTGTTTTGATTCTAGGACTTTGATTCCAAAATGCCTATTACATAATTTCATGAATATAAACTTTGATACATGTGGTTCACATTAAAATTAAATATTTATACTCTGTAGTACCTGAAGATTATAAAATAATCACCTACAATAAAGTACAAATTTTATAATGGAAATTCAGCAGTTCAGTCACCTGATGACACAGCAAAAAATATGGCAAAAACTTGATGGTAGTGTCTTGTACCCCAACTTCTGCAGATGCTCTTGTCTGAACCAATAGAATTTCACTAGTATAATTTATCTGACACATGAATTGTATAATTGATTTTACCAGAACTTGGATTACCAAGTTAGCCAAATATAGGAACAGTGTATTATTTAATCACTTTAAAATTGCCTTTCTAGCAATGAACAGCTTTAACTCTGATCCAAAGGAAATCTGCTGAATTGGACAGATTTTTTAATTTAATTGTAAAAGATAAGGTTCTTTCCATAAAGTCTGCAGAAAGGTAGTTTATAACTGAGAAAAAAAATTCCCAAAAGAATATAGAACTGATTTTCAGCTACATCTTTCTTTTTTCATGTCTCCCCACAATTTTTATATTCTGGAAAATAAGTCCCACTGATTTCACTTTATTTCTGTTCAGTTATGTATGGGACTATAAATATATTACTTATGGAAAAAAATGACTCTCTCCATTGTAATAATGACAGTTACTATAAGATTTTGTATGAATTGCACTTCATTTTAAAATTAGCATTTGGTTTTTTTTATCACGTACAGTGAATTTTTGCCTATATATGTTACTGTATAACTGGGCAACAGTAATAGCTTATGGGAGGAAATGACATGATACATTGTTGTAAAAGCATATTGGCCTGAGTCACTTGATTTATCTTGTGTTCTTCTTGTTTGTACTTCTTCTTTTGTACTTTTTTTGTACCAAGATTTGTAGCTTGGTAAGAATGATGATTCATTGGTAGCTTTCTTCAAAAGATGTATTTGGTATCTCTCATTTTGTTAAAAAAATGTCCTGAAATAGAATAAAGTACAAAAATACAGTTAATGCCCATCCAGTCAAGCAATAACAACATAAAAAGCAAACTGTGAACCAAAGTAAAAAAACAACAACCTCCTTTACTTCATTTATTCTTTACTTTTCATAAGAAACTGAAAAAAAAAAGTCAGCATGACAAGACCACTAAGAAGATTTACTAAGGATGAGTGAGGGTTAGCAAAGGTAAGGATGTGGGAATAAGAATGTTTTTGGTGGTAAAAGAAAAATACACAGTTCTTCTTAAGTTGAGCTGCATGAGCTATCTCTTCAATCAAAATAGGGTTAGAAAATTACCCCCAAGTACTGTACAACACAAGAAAGGGTGACTAATTTGTACTTTCCTTTTGCCACCAAATGGATACTGAACTTCATAACTTTCTTAGTTCACAGAATAACAGAACTGGAAGGGACCTTGGAGGTCATCTAGACCAACCCCCTAGACTAGTTCATAAGCAACTGGACCTGGAACTACCATGTTAGAATGGATTTTCTCTTCTTCTTAGGTATCATAAATTTCTATGCATATTTACAAAGAAGGAAATCTCACATATTAAATTTGTGTGACTCCTTTCTTGTATAATTTTCTGTTGCTTTAAGATTGGTGGATCTAACTTTTCCTTGAGAATCAATTCCCTACAAATGCAATTATGTGTACTTCTAAGTAGGCTAGAATAGGATTGAGCTGCTGAAAAATTATATCATAGAATGAATGAAAAAATATTTAGAAACCCTGTTTTACCCAAAATAAGACATCCCCTGATAATAAGCCCAATTGGGCTTTTGAGCACATGGCAATATTTCAGGGTACAAAAAAATATAAGACAGGGTCTTATTTTCAGGGAAACACGGTAATTCGTTGCAATATAACACACAAAAAAGAAAATTAAAAAGCAAACAAAGCAAAACAATCATCCACTGTGAACAATATTCAAAGCCCACTGTGAACAGTGAGATTTGTTTTTACAGTCCAGTTCCAAGATATTTAAATACTAGGCTGATTTTCGTGGAAGTTGAAAAGCAAATAAACTATAAACTGTGCAGATATTGGTACATTCTGAAATCAGGAAAGTTTAAGAATAGCTTTTTTCTATTTTTCTACATGCACAACAGCACAACACATTTCTTGATGTATGATGGAAATGCATCCAATTCTGGGAAGTACTTGTGGGACACACACACACACACACACACACACATTAAACAATAACCTAATGAAAAAGATAGCTTACAAGAAGTGGAAAAATTCACATCAAACTTGAACAGCTAAAGAAAATTCCACTATTTATATTTTATAAATATTTCATAATATAGGATTATTCTTAATACAGGATTATGGTTAGTACAAATTAGGAAAATGTAATAAATTTTGTTTTTTTAGGGATGTTACAACAGAACATTTTGATGGGCTTATTATTGGCGTGCAAAAAAGTAAGCAGATATGTGTTTTGCAAAGAAATTGAAAAAGAGTTTATCTCCATTATCACCCATGGGAAACTGTTGCATTGTTTACAGAGGCAGGAAAAGCCATGCTCTGCACACAAATGCAGGCCCTCCAAAGCCTTTCCATTTGGCTTGGGATTGATGGATTATTAAGGATCAGCAGCACTAAACACACAAAATGTGAAATATTAAATAAAGATGGAAGCTTCCACCCCCACCCCTTTCTTACATAAAATGTATATAAATTAATGCAAAAGTTTAATAGCCAGTCTCATTTATGATAATAAGAAGACATCTTCTACTTCTATTAATACTGCGAATCATTTTTTGAGATGAGTTTGGGCTTCAGTAGATATAAATAAACTACAGAAATCTACTGTTAAAGTACAGATGTATAATTGCCCTATAAGTTAAAGGCTTCTCTACTTGTTATCTTGATAGTTAATTTTTTCCTATAGTATTCCACTACTAGCTGGTCTTGTACACTTTTAATGATACATTTTCCTCTCAACCTGTTTGTTCAGATGTCTCTATCTTCCAAATGGATGAGTAGCTAATTTTCCTTTGTCGAAATATATCCAGTTTGACTACATTTTGCTTAACATGTTAACAACTAGAGGTGCATTTAAGGACTTCAATTGATATTGAATAAAAAGATAATCTAGTTTATGTCTGTGAATACAGAAGTCTTACATTTCATCATCATAATCCTTGGGAGGGGACACTGCAATGACCAAGTCAATCCAATCCTGTGGAAGAAATGCTTAATCAATATGATATGTAATTGATCAGGGAATGAAAAAGTATATCTTCAGAGTGTGGTTTCATTATATAACACATTAAGAAGGTTGTTTGTTATGAAAACATGGTATAGAAAACAGTGAGCACCGCTTTTCCCCTTTTCATCAATTCCATTCAAGTATAGCCTTCGTAGTCTTTCCTCTTAATTCACTCTTTCTGATCTATGTGTTTTGAAATGAATCATTATTCATTTCCTTTCTGTTGCCAAAGCAACTCAAAATATTTCTTTTATGCTTTTGTATTCAACCTACATTAATTAAAATACTCACTAATTTTTGACCTTATCTCTTGTTTTACTACAAATACTTAAGAATCTCTATTTCTACTGGATTAAGTTACCTTACATTCTTCGTGACTTTCAACTTTCACTTCTATATAACAAAATGGACAGAAGTATGATCTTACACACATTTTTATTTTTTGATAAGCATTCATTCTTCACAACAGGCCAATGGCCATAAACAAATAAACATATATTTCTTCATCCTAACCCTAACTCTAAACCCATCCTAGTACAAAGCAGTGCTTTGCACTTCTGAAATTTTGCTCATTTTGTCACTTTCATACCCTTATCAGAATTCTGCCAAACATTTTCACAGGCAGATTTAACAAACTATTCCCCCAGTAGTTTTTGCATTCAATCTTGGTACTTCCCCCCCACCCCACACCTTTGTGTAGGGAAATAATAACAGCATTCTTCCAAACTTTAGCAGCTTTCACATGCACATTAAATATGTCTCCACACACAAATGAACTCCATGAACTGCTCTAATTTTTCTCTAAATGAATCATCTATAGTACATTATTTTCCAACATTTTCACATTAATCATTTCTTTTCATCCTTTTTTTCCTGGACACTAACATTTATAGCATTCATTTTAATGCTTCTCTTTGACCATTCCTTGCTTACCTACTGCCTCATTTAGTAACCATTCAAATCTACCACAGTGTAAAAAAATAGCTTTGCAACCAATCCTCACATTTACAAACATCCAGGCACTTTGCAAACAGTACACATTTATGACTACTGAAATATATCACACCAAGGGTGGGCTCTACTTACCTTTATTACGGTTCATAACAGGGCTGTGCGCACGCGATTGCTTCACTTGCTCGCTCGCACGCTCTTCTGCACATGCGCAGAAGCATTCTGATGATGTCAGGGTTGGTGGGCGGAGCTTCCCGCCAGTTTTATTACCGGTTCTATAGAACCGGTGCGAACAGGGGGCAACCCATCACTGTATCACACTCATATGATCACTTATATATGCCTGCTTCCCAACTGGTTTGTGTCAAGCAGAGTTAAGCAGTTGGGACTTACATAAATCACAATCATGTCATGTCTCCCTTAATGACTTCAGTGACTCATTTAACAACTAAGTGAGAGCTGAGGTTATAAGCCTGTCACGATTATGTGATTTTCTGGTTAGTCACCATGGTACGGTGTTGCTGGTCCTAAATTGCATCACCATCATTTGTGTACAAATCTCTAACCTGCTCTTAACATTTCCACCCTCACACAAAACTCTAAAATACTCTTTATATTCTCTCATCCCAATTTCATAGCTTTTATTTGCACTTCCATTCATCCCACTGGAGGCTCCTTATTCAGTCCACTTTGCCAATTTCAGTACAATTTATTTCCTCCAATAAAGAAGTAATTTATTCTCTCTACTCCATTTAATCAAAGTCAGGGATGTCAAACTCGTGCCATCACGGTGTTGTTATGTGACATATTGTGACTTTTTCCCCCTTCGCTAAATCGGGTGTAGGCATGGCCAGCACATGATACATCCAGCTCGCGGGCCACGAGTTTGACAGCCCTGATCTAAGTTGTTCCTTGCTGCCTGGCTATTAGTTTTTATCTACCTAATATCTTTTTTACTATCCAATATCCTTCTCTCACTCATTCTCTAATACAGATTTTTCTCAACTTGTGTCCCTTTTGCTTTTTATTTCCACCAAGCATCCTTTTCATATTTCCCATCATGTTCCAAATAGCTTTCACATCTTCTTTCCTTATATCCCTTTTCCATTCCATTTGGGTGATTAATCATTTTGCCAGTAGGATTTATAAGTTTTCTTCTAGCAGTCACTCCAGTTTCTTTCATTTCTTTCTATGCTCTTCTTCCCCCCCAAGATCCACTTTCGATGCTACTAAAAATGCCCTGTCCCACATTCAGAAGCTTTCATCTCTCTTGCATTGTTCGCTAATCTCCTCAGTCTTTCATCATAAGCATCCCACCAAGTCAGAACAGCATGCAATGTACTGACACACATTCAGAAATACTAAAAGCATGGATTATATGCCTGAAGCATTTTGCTTAAACAGAAATGAAGCAGTTTAGAATCTCTCTCTCTCTTTTGCCAAGGGTAATTTCTATTCTATGCAGAGTCTTATTTGACAAATATTATATGAATATATGTAAAAGATGAGCCACATGGCTATCATTGGGAATTTTTTCTGAAGCATAGATGGGATGGAAATAATGCTGAATTATTCTGCATACATTATATCTTTCATGTTTAAATAAATCAGTTCTTAACTGGCCATGTGAACTTTTTGTTTTTCATTCAAAAAAGGAATTTGACTGTTTGGCACATATTTTTTGCACACCGTCAATTATTTCATTATTTATCCAATCTTTCTTGAATTTTGGTTAGAATATTTTTTATTTTGAAAAAATAATTAAAATGACCAGTTTTTAAATAAAATGCAATGACTGCTAATAATATCCATGCTTACTTAGCAAAGTTGTGCTTCATATTCCATTGTTTCATTACAGAGTTTTAAGATGATAAAAAAAAAATTTGCCCTGAGAGTGCTGCTCATCTCCGTTTCTTAGTCAAGGGAGCCAGCATTGTGCAAAGATGCTTCTATGGTCATGTGATCAGCATGACTATATGCCAAGGTGCACAGAATGCTGTTACCTGGTACCTATTTATCTTCTTGCAGTTGCTTGTTTTTGAACTGTTTGTTTGTCAGGAGTTGGATTGTCCCTATGTTTGTTACCATTCCTGTATACCATTCCTGGAGCTTTCCTGTACAATAGCTATAAGAGTTATTAATTTTTAATATAAATTTATCAGTAGGCTAGAATTTATTTATTGCCACTTCTTGGGAAAAATGGATATCTGATATGTCATTTTGAGATGAGATTCATCTCTTCCAACTTACCCCTCCCACATTCCATGCTTTCGCAAGAGCTGCCCGAGCTTCATCCAGTTTAGCATCCAACAAAACCTTGCCATTTACAGCCATTATTTCATCTCCTTTCACAATACCTCCTGATAACGGAAATAAAGGGCAAAGGAACAAGCAAATCCATATTATCTTTCTTTTACTGAAATTGTTATTGAAAATGAGAATCTGAATGATAAGATTTGGGTCATACCATGCAAGATTATTATATACTGTATATATATTACATTCAAACCTTCCTCCAAATAAGATTATATTTATCATACCTGAGAGGTAGGCTAGGATGAGAGATTGGTCCCTAATCTTCCAATGAATGTCATGGCTGGTTAGGGATTTCAATCTCAATCTCCACCATCACTGTCTGATACTTTAATCACTAAAACACTTTTCAGAATGAATGTAATAATACAAATAGAGTTAACTAGTGTCTGCACGCAAAGTAACATTTATTACTTCTAACCAGAGTTGGGTTTTAGCAGGTTCTGACCAGTTTTGGAGAACCGGTAGCAGAAATTTTGAGTAGTTCGGAGAACCTGTAGTAAAAATTCTGACTGGCCCCGCCCCCATCTCTTCTCTGCCTCCCAAGTCCCAGCTGATCAGGAGAAAATGGGGATTTTGCAGTAACCTTTTCCTGGAGTGAGGAGGGAATGGAGATTTTACAGTATCCTTCCCCTGAAGCGGGGTGGAAATGGAGATTTTATAGTATCCTTCCCCTGCCATGTCCACCAAGCCATGCCATGCCCACCAAGCCATGCCATGCCACGCCCACCAAGCCACACTGACGGAACCGGTAGTAAAAAATTTTGAAACCCACCACTGCTTCTAACCCTTCTATATATCTGTTTTGTTCTCCTCTGATTTATTCTTCTTCACAGAAAAGAAGATAAAATAGCTGTATAAGGCATTTTGTTTAGCTACACAAGAAATGCTTTTCTGTAAACAGTCATTTTTTTCTATAAGAAGCGTCTAAAATTGAATTATCACAATGTTAAATTATGACATATGACACTGCCCTTATTTAATTATGCCATTTATTATATGTGGTTCTTGTTTATCTTCATTCTAAGTTAATAATGAACATTAAAACCTATTAGTGTTTCAATTTCATTTATTTTACCAGACATCACAATAGCAATATTGTTGAGGGTATTTAGGAAACAGATGAAAGTAGGGGTCACTGGTGTTATGTTCTAAAATAGCACATTTTATTTTGTAAACTTTTATATTGGTGCCTATCTCAAATACACATATACATTATTGAGACATCTACATTTTGTTAAATATTTTGATATTTGAGCAGTTAGAAGAACACATGACAGGAAGAATTAACCATTTCCCAATGCACCAACAAATTAGATCATGCAACTTTGTTCTCACCATAATTTTTCCCAGAGCATTCAGAAAATTGGAGAGAATGGTAAATACTTAGTCTTAATTTAAGTGTAAATATTTTAGAAATAAATTGCCACTCTGAGGAGATAACTTGAGGATATTCCAATCTGAGGATATAATTTGCACTTCTGGAAAATGCCTAGTTAAAGCTAACTTTATTTTACAAGTGTTAAGATGCCTTATATTCCAGCTTTTTTCTTAGCAAATACCCACCATGCTTGTCTGCAGCACCACCCTCATAAATAGCAGACACCATTACTTTTCCAACTGGGGAATCAATGCCACCTTCTACTGCAAGGTCTAATGATCCTTCCTGTTAAAGAGTTTGAAAAAAAAAAAAGAATATACAGTATTTATGTTTCTTGAATTAAGTTTAAGTTTAAGTTTAAATTTAAGTTTAATGCGATTTATATGCCGCCTTATCTGCACTGGACTCAGGGCGGCTCACAACAATAAAATGCACAATTGCACATTAAAACAATATGAAATTAAAAGTCCAAATTAAAACAGTTTAAAATCAATCTAAAACTATTAAGAACCCCCCCCATCAGTCCAGACTACGAAACAACCAGGTCTTCAACTCATGGCGGAACGAGCGAAGGTCAGGGGCCATCCGGAGCTCCAAAGGAAGTTGGTTCCAAAGGGTAGGTGCACCCACAGAGAAAGCTCTCCCTCTGGGGGTCGCCAGCCAACATTGTCTCGCTGACGGCACCCTGAGGAGGCCCTATTTGTGGGAACGCACCGGGCGATTGGAGATTGTTGCTGGCTGCAGGGGATCCGACAAGTATCCTAGGCCATGAAGGGCTTTATAGGTGATAACCAGCACCTTGAACCTCACCCGAAAGGCAACTGGTAGCCAATGCAGGTCGCGCAGGAGGGGTGTAACATAGGAGTGTCAGGACACTCCCATCACAACCCACACGGCCGCATTCTGCACCAGTTGAAGCCTTCGAGTGGTTTTCAAGGGCAGCCCTAGGAAGAGAGCGTTGCAGTAGTCAAGACGGTTGCAGTTGCAGTTTAACATTATATACTAGTTAATTTTATGTTATGAACTTACAAAATGAGTTCCCCTTCTTGCTGTAAACCAGATTTGGAATTAAAGGTTTGTAGGTAAAACTGGTTTACCATAATTCCACTGGTAGATAGACCAGTGGGTATAATATTTATGCATTAATTTTCTGTAAAAATAATATCAAGCTATGCAATAAAAGTTATAATAGAAAACACTAGAAAGGATAAATGAGAATAACACAGTCAGCAGTGTTAACCAAAGAAAATATTTAAAATCTTATTAAGTCAGAAGGAACAAGCACAGCAACACAGATGCGATTAAAAGCCTCAGAGAGAGAGAGAAAAAAAGAATTTTAGCTAATTGCCCAAAAAAGGTTGTCCATCCTTCTGCCATCTGAGAAAGATACTCTATGAACGATGCATCATCATTGAAAAGGTTTTATTGCACACTGTATCTATCCATTTTTCAAAAGGCAGAAGTATTGGTAAGTGAAAATGTAAAGAATTTCCTAAGATCAAACAGGTTCATTTAGAACCGGGCTGCCAAACTCCCGGCGCGTGGGCCAGATTCATCATGCGCTGGCTACGCTCACGGCCAGTTTAGCGAAGGGGAAAAAAAGTCCCGATATGTCCTGTGACGCCACTGTGACGATGTGAGTTTGACACCCCTGATTTAGAAGGTTCTCCCAGTGTTCTCAACCTCAGTGAAGTGTTAATGGATGAGTATTAAATTGTGGAATTACATGTATTCATGTGTTCATCTATCATCAACGTGTATTGATGTATGTATGGAGGCTTTATCTGTGCTTGCCCACTCACCTCATAGGTTTTGTTTGCTTTTTCTTTCAATAGCATAATATTTCATGCCAACAAGCTGGTCTATAGCTGTAATAAAGATTTGATTTGACTCAAAGCCAATGAATGAAGAAACAACTAAACTGAAAAATGAAGCTGTCCTTCATAATACAAGAATAAATGTATCATAGCTGCAGCTGAGATCAGAACTTAATTTTCAGTGGGAAGGCTCATCTCTGAATTTTATGAAATGGAATTCCTCTACTGAATGTAGTAATTACAATACAATATCTTTCTTCCATCTTAAACAGTACCTTTTTTATATGAAGGAGTCGTACATCTTTTCCCATAATCTGGTCTGGTGAAAACTAAACAAATGTTAACAAAATTAAACAAATGTCAGTAAGCAATCTCTGCTACAAAAAGGGAAATACATAGATCCTGCCTTATACTGAGATCATTCATCATGTATCTCAATACTGATATTCCAGGGTTTATCCACCCTGCTTATACCAAAATTACTGAATAAAAATCATCTCCTTATGAGGAAATATTATAATTTGGTGGCATTTTCACCTCAGAAGATGAATAAAGGGGAAACCTTACAGAATAGTATAAAAATATGGATGATGTGGAAAATGTGTTAAATATGAGGAAAAATGTAAAAGAGAGCAAATCAAAGGGAATATACTTTAATAACAATTGCTAGACAGCAATGCTGAAAAAGTATACATTTTGTATCCTACTTGATAGCTTTCTGGGTGCATTTGGATAAGCACTATGTCACCCAGCTGAATTGGCAGGTTTTTCCAGTTGGATCGGCAGGATTTTTGTCTAATCAAGCAAGGCTTTTCTTGGGTAGACACCACGTACTGAATGTGGGATGTTCAGCATGCATAGCATGTGAGTTACCACTAAGCCACAAACCCTTCCTCCTTGGTCATTTACATTAGTGGTGGGTTGCTCCCGGTTTGCACTGGTTCGCAAGAACCAGTAGTAAAAATTTGTACTAGTTTGGAGAACCAATAATAACATTAGCTGGCCATGCCCCCGAACCGGTTCCCGGCCCGGTCACCACTCGCTTACCTGCCCAACTCATCAGAGGCTTTTTTTTTACTTTTAAAAGCATTTTTTCTACAACCTCTTTGGCCGAAAAAATGCTTTTAAAAGTAAAAAAAAAAGCCTCTGATGATCGCGCGGCTCAGCTGGGATTGTCAGAGGCTTTTATAAGCATTTTTTCTGCAACCTCTTCAGCCGAAGAGGTTGTAGGAAAAAAAAATCCTTTAAAAGCCTCTGGCGATCCCAGCTGAGTTGCCGCAGCTTGCTCTGAGCACTTTTTTCTTCAAAAAAGCATTTTTTTCTGCAACCTCTTTGGCCAAAGAGGTTGTAGGAAAAAAAAAAAGACTTTAAAAGCCTCTGGCGATCCCAGCTGAGTTGCCTGATCGTCAGAAGCTTCTAAAACCATTTTTTCCTGCAACCTCTTAAGGTTGTAGAAAAAATGCTTTTAAAAGTAAAAAAAAAAGAAGTTGGCCATGCCCACCCAGTCACATTACTCCCCACAAAGCCACGCCCACAAATAAGCCACACCCACAGAACTGGTAGTAAAAAAATTTAGAACCCACCCCTGACTTACACTTTATACTTCTTACCATGGTATAGGGATCAAAGTCCTCCACATATTTTTGGAAGCCCTGAAAATAAGGTTGGCAATCAAATACATGCATAGTAGGCTCTAAATAAAAATAGTGATCAAATGAAAGAAGTATGAAAGAAAAGCCAGAAAGAAAGAGATAAATTGTATACTCCTCCTGACATTAAAACACACAAGCTTTTAAGGTTAGATCTATCTTTTAGAACACAAGAATTAGATAATTTAATCTGAAGATTTCCTGAATTTGGTCTTCACATTTAGATTGCCCATTTATTTTAATCCATCCAATTTGAAGGTCATGGGTTAGATAAATGTTGATTAAGACCTTTGTACTCCGCTAGCATAATTAGAGTAGAACATGTGGGAATTAAAAGCAGGCATTGGACTGCTGATTGTCACAAGAAACACAAAGTAGAAAGCATTTGTAAAGCATATTTATTTAACTCATCAACAATCTTCTGCAGCAAACAAACATTTTTAAATCTCTGAAACATAAAACATCCTGTTTCACAGTTCAGCTGCTTTGCTTCACTGAACTTCCTAGGCAAAGAATTAAACTATGTTATGACATAACTGTGGCTGGAATCCTTGTGCTAAAATTTCAGGCCATTGCTATATTTAAAAGACTGCAATTACAGATACTATAACTGAGCTTCCTATTTACAATAAAATCAGTGGGGCACAAGACAATTAGATAGATAGATAGATAGATAGATAGATAGATAGATAGATAGATAGAT